AATTCAGTATAATATATATCTAATCATATTTTACAACTGTAGCACTGAGTTCAAAATGTAAACAAAGCGTTTGTTTACATTACGGACTTTACATGGTTTTAATTAAAATTGTGATAATATGACGTAATCAGAGGCGTGTAGCTGTTTTTCTTCAGAACCAATTTTGTAATTTTTTCTAAACTGAGGAGACAGGGGGGGGGGCACAACCTCTTAATGTTTTTATCTATGCCATAAAATATATCTGTGTCTTTCAGATTATCATAAAACGTGTCTAAAATGCATGAAATCAGTAGCGTTTCCCAGACCCTAAAGATAGAAAAATTGCTTCATCGCAAAAAATATTTCACCTGAGTCCAACACTACAACCACCAGTTTTGAGACAAAACCGGATTGGCTTAGCATGGCATCGAATTGAATGGTTTCAGGAATATTGTACAGGCCTAACACTTAATTAAAATTGTGATAATATGACATAATCAGAGGCGTATAGCTGTTTTTCCTCAGAACCAATTTTGTAATTCTTCCTAAACCAAGGGGGCAGGGGGCACATCCTCTTAATGTTTTTATCTATGACATAAAATATATCTGTGTCTTTCAGATTATCATAAAACGTGTCTAAAATGCATAGAATCAGTAGCGTTTCCCAGACCCTAAAGATAGAAAAATTGCTTCATCGCAAAAAGTATTTCACCTGAGTCCAACACTACAACCACCAGTTTTGAGACAAAACCGGATGGGCTTAGCATGGCATCGAATTTAACGGTTTCATGAATATCGTAGCAGTTAAAATTACGATAATATGACTTAATCAGAGACGCTGTTTTTCTTCAGAACCAATTTTGTAATTTTTTCAAAACTAAGGAAGCAGGGTGGCACAACCTCTTAACGTTTTTATCTATGACATAAAATATATCTGTGTCTTTCAGATTATCATAAAACGTGTCTAAAATACATAAATATAGCGTTTCTCCGACCCTAAATTAAAGATAGAAAAATTGCTTCATCGCAAAAAATATTTCACCTGAGTCCAACACTACAACCACCAGTTTTGAGACAAAACCGGATTGGCTTAGCATGGCATCGAATTGAATGGTTTCAGGAATATTGTACAGGCCTAACACTTAATTAAAATTGTGATAATATGACATAATCAGAGGCGTATAGCTGTTTTTCCTCAGAACCAATTTTGTAATTCTTCCTAAACCAAGGGGGCAGGGGGCACATCCTCTTAATGTTTTTATCTATGACATAAAATATATCTGTGTCTTTCAGATTATCATAAAACGTGTCTAAAATGCATAGAATCAGTAGCGTTTCCCAGACCCTAAAGATAGAAAAATTGCTTCATCGCAAAAAGTATTTCACCTGAGTCCAACACTACAACCACCAGTTTTGAGACAAAACCGGATGGGCTTAGCATGGCATCGAATTTAACGGTTTCATGAATATCGTAGCAGTTAAAATTACGATAATATGACTTAATCAGAGACGCTGTTTTTCTTCAGAACCAATTTTGTAATTTTTTCAAAACTAAGGAAGCAGGGTGGCACAACCTCTTAACGTTTTTATCTATGACATAAAATATATCTGTGTCTTTCAGATTATCATAAAACGTGTCTAAAATACATAAATATAGCGTTTCTCCGACCCTAAATTAAAGATAGAAAAATTGCTTCATCGCAAAAAATATTTCACCTGAGTCCGACACTAATACCACCAGTTTTGAAACAAACCGGATTGACTTGGCATGGCATCGAATTTAACAGAATAACGGTTTCAGGAATATCGTTAGCAGTTAAAATCGCGATAGTATGACTGTTAAAGGAGGAAGGGGGGGGGGGGATTTTGTGGACAGACATTGGACGAGTTACACGAAACCGGAAACTATAGGCCCTCTAGCAGGAATCAAACCTGTGTAGTCGATAACACTAGGGCCTGTCAAAAGAGAACGGATGACAGACTTGCGGATGACAAGGCGTGTGGGTGTAAGGGGTGGTGGGGGCAACTTGATAACATGGAAATTTCCACCATACCAACAAGAATCACCATAGGCGTACGAGACAGGAGCAGAGAGGTAACTCCCCCCCCCCAAAAAAAAAATTCTGGCAAATGCTAGGAAAAATCAAGAAAATTAGGGCAGGTTTATCGGGAAATAGGTTAATTTAGGTAATTTCATTATAATCCCCCAACCCCCCGGAAAGCATCAGTCCCGTACGCCTATGAGAATCACGTAAGAGTGATGCATGTATTAACCTGAACTAAACACAGAGTAAAAAACCTACACTGAAAGCTAAGAACCAGTGGGTTAAGAACCATGTTTCAATTTCTTCCAGGGGCTAGTTGTTCAAAAGCCGGTTAGCTTAATCCTAGCCTAGGTTAACGCAAATTTCAAAGCAATTTTCCCAACAACGTGTTCAGAAATATGAAGTTAGTTTTCTAAAATTCATGTGAGGATGAATAGAAGTTATATTTTCCAAAGTTTTGAAATAAAAGATGTGCAAATGTACCCAAACGAAAACAGCTGGTTAAAGTTTAACCTGAGGTTTAGCGCTAGAAGAATCGGCCCCAGAGCGCTTGTAAGTGCATTTTTCGAAACTGCTCCAGCTTATTAAGAGAAAACTCAGCCTGATTTTACACTCATTATATTAGCTTTCGCAGCCGGTAATTCAGTCTGTGAGCTGACAACAAAAATCGCAAACACACAAGAGGCTTTTTTTATTTGTATTTATTCACGAACAAGCACATCTATGTGATCTCTAAGTGCAATTAAATCGTCTTAATTTCTTTACTTGAGTGAGTGCTTCGTGGGCAAAGTTTACACCTAGAGAAAAGTAAGGAAAGATGTTTAGAGAAAAGTAAGGAAAGATGTAACCTGCGATCAGGCCCTCCAAATACAACCACTGAACCAAACCATCGCCACAGAACAGAGACAAACAGAAGATCGACTTCTTGGTTTTTCCTATGATTTTGGCGTAAGCGTAGTTCGTCATCAAAATGTTGACGCCATGATCCTAGCCACTGCGCTTATGAGAGACATTCACCGCCCCCTTATAACATTCACAGGCTATACACAGTGTCCATGTTGGATAAGAACAATTATCCCATACCTGTGTTAAAAGCGGCTTTCTGATTGGTTTAGAGCAGGTGAGCTTGTCGTCGAGCTCACCTGCTTTTTGCCGAACTCACCTGCTTTTCGCCCGAGCTCACCCGCTAAACTGCTCACGTTGCAATAACAATAACAAATATGGCGGACAAGATTTAGCCATTGAACTATAAATAAACTGGAAGGCTAACTCAGGGGGGGGAATTGAAGCCAGTGCATTTTAGTTTTTCTGAGTTATGAGCAGAAATACTCAACACTGAAGGTTGGGCTATATATCAAATTGAAGCTATTGAAAAACGGTATTTGGTGTAGAAATTTCAGGACTATAGCTAAAAGGGAAATATTGAAAAACTACAAACATAATTACCGATAATTTGCCGTTTTGCAGTTGTTTTTGTATTTTTTAAATATTTTTCGTTTCGCTGAAGTCTTGAAATTTCCACACCGAATAGCAATTTTCAATAGCTTCAATTTGATATATAGCCCGACGTTTGGGATCAAGTATTTCTGCTCATAACTCAGAAAAACTATTTTGGCTTCATCAAATCATAGGCCTTCATCATAGCAGTTAGCCTTCCAGTTTATTTATAGTTCAATGGATTTAGCCGATAAACCTAAACTTTAAAGAACTTTTTTCGTTGACTAACATACTGAGACTGAAGAAAAACCAAAGAAAAAATGCAATAAAGGTAATGTAGACGTAGATAAAGAAGTATTTTCTTGCCCAGTGATTTTTTTGGCCGGGAAAATGTTCACAAAACATCGACGAATATATCGCGAAGAACTACAAATGTGTGTATGGCTCGCGGTGTATGGGATAAAAACCAAACGTACTTGCAGGTTCGGTGAGTCCGGGATTGGACGCACCTCGGGTGGCTGGAAGTTTCCCGAACTCACCTCGCTTCGCTCGGTAAGTTCGGGAAACTTCCAGCCACCCTCGGTGCGTCCAATCCCGGACTCACCTCCCTGCAAGTACGTTTGTTAGGGGTCACGTCCATATTCATGTTGCCACGCATAACGTCGAATCGACGTTAACACTCAAACCCACCCACCCACCCTAAATAACGTCGAGCGTGGCAGTCACATTCTTCAAAACTTTCACAAAATTATCGTTTTGCCACGAGATTATCGAGATAACGTCGAGAGAATTAAGATAAACCCACCCACCCACTCATAACGTCGATTCGACGTTATGCGTGGCAATATGAATATGGACGTGACCCCTTATAAAGCTGAAAAACTTACCCGACTAACTAAGTTCGTAGATGTATCCGTGTTTGCCTGTTCCAACGCAGATTGGACTTCTCTGGTTATGAATGCAAGTGTCGTAGTTAGGACGTTTTCCCCAACATGCATTTGCTCCTGCGTGAGGCTGGTTCACATTAAAGTCCTTGTAACCCCAACATTCGCCATAAAACTCGATACAGAAGTATCTGTAGCCTTCGTCCTTTGCCGCTTTTCCACAGCTGTCATAAAAACGGTATTGAATTAAATGACAGGCCTCGGCTAGTCTCTAAGGCCGAGGAGATTTTTGTTCGAACTACCCAAAACGATTAATGGCTGGTTTACACTTGCATTTTTTGCCTCAATGTTTTTCTCAGGAATAATGAACATATTTTGTTGCAAGCAGATCAAAATCACTGAAATAAATATAACTGGAATGCTACTTCCAACTGGAAATTTGAAGCCAAACTTGAAGGTCAGTCCCAGTCTTTAGACGCATGCGAAGAGCGCCCAATCAGTCAATCATGATAATTATAAACACGAGTGTCTTGACCCCCAGATACGCGTGTCTGGGGGTCAAGATTTGGGTTCAAGAAGATGATAGGCAGTACGTTTATCTGAAGGTAGTGTTCTAGTTATATTCATTTCAGCGAAAATGTTTGACTGAGCCCACGATGCCAAGCAATGAATACTCAGCGACATGGCCATTTTTCTGTGCAATTTCTGGTGGTGTAACAGCTTGTATCATAGTGTGTTGTCTATTGGGACTGGGGACGAGGATGTCATATTCTCGACAAGAATTAGAGTTAAGGAACACTGACGTAAGAAAAATAAAAAATTCCTTACTCGCACACGATTTTTTCAAGATATTTATCCCATCCGGCAAACCAATCAATGGCGTTGCGACGATTGAACAACAGTTTCGATGTGGCTGGTCGCCGTTGTGGTGTACTGTAGCAACCCCACTTTGAAAATGACGCTGCTAGGCACCCTGGAATGTTCAAGAATATAATGGCAACAATTTATATGGAGAAATAACCAACCATCATGGGCCAGTTGTACGAAGGCCCAGGGCTTTGAAAACAAGCCGGCGGGTGTTACGAGATTTACTGCCGGCTACTATCTTTTAAATTATTCATCTCGCTTTGTTCGTGGTTTGTAGCCATAAGGTACACCTGTTTCGCCATACTTTATAGCCACAAGTCTCCCGCGGCGTTTGACCGCCAACTGTCATCGAGTCATCGACTCTCATACACTCTCATCAACTTTGAGCTGCTTCGAATGATGAGAGTTGATGAGAGTTTTTGCTCGTTGGTAATATCCAGTCAACTCTCATGCCACTCTTGTTCTCGTTTGAGCAGGACTTGAGAATTGAGAAAATTCTCATGAAAACTCTCGCTTGTCAACCCTCGTTCTCGCTTCAGCAGGGCGTAACCTACGAGGCTAAGACGTTATTTCAGGAACTAAACATATTAAGGACAACAGGTCGTAAATGGTGTCCATCTAAATAAGTCTAAATAAATACTTACATTTGGGAAATTCACAATCCTTGCCTTCCCAGTTAGGTGAACATTTACATTGATATCCACCATTGCTATCATCCACACATTGTCCTCCATTCTGGCAGGGCTTGCTTGCACATGCACCTGGTGGGAAAAAAACTTTTATGAAACTTTCTCGGAAATTTAAAACCATTGCTCTCGAAATATATACTGGGTACCCAACTCGAGCGAGACTTGGCCTTGGGGCCTGAAGTCTAACCTGAAATCGATAATAAGTCTACTGTTATTTAATAATTGAGTGTACTTACTAATTGCCTCACACATATCTTTGACCAGTGAATTCTCAATGGTGTTCAGAGCGTTCATGGTTATGTTAAAAGTATATCCAGGTTTGCTTGAAAGTTCTTTAAGTTGTTTCATGAGCCGATTCTGCGTTTGCCCGTTGCCAATCCCAACACAAAGTATCTCGACACCATTGTCCCTCATCTCCTGCGCCACACGCACAGCTTTGCTGTGGTCATGTGATTCACCATCAGAAAACAATACCACTACATTAGGGACATCTTTTCTGTCATCCTGTGTCCCAAATATCTATAAAAATTTCACACAAAACTAATGGGTTTATAGTTTAGGAGGACATTGCAGGATACGTAACTTTTTCTTTGATTGACACTTAAACGTTAAAGGATTGCCTTGGACCTATAGGGATAGCAGTTTAAACATATACCAAATGTTTAGGAACGAACTTTCCCTGAGCCTCATGTTAATAGTATATTTTGTGTTCAATATATAGACCACAGTGAGACTTTTTTAAATGTGTTTATTACAAATTGTAATCTTAACTACCTGAAGATGGAGTATATCTCCGAAACGTCGTTTGTTAATGTAATATACACATTTAAAAAAAGTTTTACTGTGGTCTATATATTGAACACAAAATATAGTTTAGATATAGTGGACTGATAGAACTATTCAATACAGATTCAATACAAATATCCAAACGATGTCTTCGCGTTTGTATTGCACTTAATTGTTCAAGCCGCCAACGTGCTGTTTTGCGCATGGGTGGGTTGTAGCGAAGTAGTTGTAGTTCGCTACTGTCGCGAACTATATTTTCAAGTAGACTGTTGACTACTTTTTTAAAACAGTAGCTGTAGTTATAGCGAACTACATTTTGCCTAAAAGTAGCCAAGTATACTACTAGGCCTACTTTTCAAACAGCGAATCGCTATTCGCTACTTTTTAAAATTGTTAGCAACTTGATAGAATAGCATGATATTGAGACACGGTTTGCTTAAAATCAATACTCAATAGTCAATTTGCACTCCTGAACACTGTAGTGCTTACAAAAATGTTGCTTTGTGTTTACTGTTGCTACTCGTAAGTCGATTTGTTATAGGTTACATTACAGCCTGAGTTAGTACTTAGTAGATGCTCCACTTATAGTAAAACTAAAAAATATAGCGTAGCAAAATAGTTCGCTACATTTTTTTAAGCAGTAGCTGTAGTCAGTAGCGAACTACCTTTGTTCAAAAGTAGCAGTAGTTGTAGCTGACTACATATTTTTGAAGTAGCTGTAGTTATAGCGAACTACAAAAATTTTGTAGTCAACCCACCCTTGGTTTTGCGAATGGTCCAGGGCACCTGGTTAAGTTTATTTTTTGTCAAGGTGAACACTCTAAATTTATGAATAAGTAAGAATAATCAGTTACGTTTTGCTGAACCATTTCCAATGCCTTTCCAGTATACGTGCTTCCGCCCTTGTAGTTCATATTTTTGACAGCGGTATGCAGCTGTGCAGCGTCTGTATACTTGGTGAGAGAAAACACTTCACGTGGGCTACCGCTGTACTTCACTGCAGCAAAATGCGCTCCAAATGGGGCAACACTGAAGTGTGATATAACATCCCCGACAAATGTCTTAATGTCTTGAAAGTCACTGTAGCCGATACTGCCAGATTCGTCCAGGATCATAGCGATGTCCACCACTTTTGTGCATGTTTTATTGCCGACTATTTGAAAGAAATTGAAATTTCGTTTAAAGTCGTTGCGGGCAAACCAGGAGACATTGCTCCCTAGCCATGTTTTCCCAAGGTGGGAAAACCAGAAAACATTGTTTCCTAACCATGTTTCCCGAAGGTGGGCAAACCAGGAAACATTATTTCCTAGCCACGTTTCCCCAAAGGTGCATAGCAAACCAGAAAACATTGTTTCTTAGCCATGTTTCCCGAAGGTGGGCAAACCAGGAAACATTATTTCCTAGCCACGTTTCCCCAAAGGTGCATAGCAAACCAGAAAACATTGTTTCCTAGCCATGTTTCCCCAAGGTGAGAAAGCCAGAAAACATTGTTTCTTAGCCATGTTTCCCGAAGGTGGGCAAACTAGGAAACATTGTTTCCTAGCCATATTTCCTGAAGGTGAACAAACCATGAAATAATGTTATTGAAACATTGTTTCCTAGCCATGTTTTCCGAAAGTGGGCAAACCAAGAAGATTTTTTTGTGCTGGTGTTGTGTACTCAGGTGAATATGATATGTTTGTGATGTTACCCTGAGTCTACTATCCACACTGGGCGAGCTTGAAAAATATGCCCGGCCACGGTTCGATTCCCACCGTGGACGGGCATATTTTTCAAGCTCGCCCGGTGTGGATAGTACATTCAGAGTAACATCACAAACAAACCAAGAAGAGCTTATTAAATTGGTGTATTGCGACAGATACAGGCTTAGGCTTGTCCGGACATGTAGGCCAATAAAACAGTGTTTAATAAAACAGTGTTTGCAAGACAGTAATCGGAAAACAAACCTGTTAATCTTGGGAAACAATTCCCCACGATGTTATTGAAAATATTCTTGCTTCCGCCGTTAGTTTTTTCGTGATTTCAACATTTGTTTCATTTAACGTAAACTCCATGCAGTATAAAGTGAGAAATTTTCGGCGTATTTTTAAATAAAGAACAAATTTTCTTATTTAGTATCTGTTTAGGAGATGTGTTTCATCCATTCATCTACCAATAAGGAATAAATGTGAGGCAATTTCTATCGACGTCGGTCAAATTTGTACCCCCCCCCCCTCCCTATTTTTTCCGCCCGTCGCCCATTACAGAATATTACTTACTTGGCACTGCGAGTGTACTGCATGTGAGATAGAGAAGGGCACAGGTCAGAGAAACCAAACTTCGTTTCATATTGAAGATTTTTTCGCTGAAAAATAAACAACATCTCTGAATGTCCTCACCAGGCAAACTGAAAGATAGCTTGACTGTTTGTGAGTGATCATGAGTGAGTGAACTTTATTTAATAAGCACGGAGGCCTGCCGTCCAAATTGAGATGGTCTTCCCAGACGTCGTGACATTTGAATTATTTACAACTAAGAAAATGATAATTTAAAGCTATATACAGTTGACATAACAAATTATTATCTACAGTTTATTTTTGAATATTTTTAGTGAGGTGGAACTCCTAATTTCAATTGCTATTGAATTCCATACCACTGCATGCTCCATTGTATTCGAGACTATTTTTTAAAAAATTGGTGTTCGGTTTAGGGATAACAAAATTGTAGTCATGACCTCGTGTACCATGACTGTGAATTAAGTTTGCTCGATTAAACGGTTTTGAAAAATAAGATGAGCCTAATTTGTGGAATATTTTGAACATTAGACAAGATTTTTGTTTCATTCGCCTAATATCGGCCAATATATGTTATTCAAAATTTGAGAAGAGCGTATTTCATAGTTGCTCCTAGAAATTGTTTGGGCTGCTCGATGTAGCTTAATCCTGTAAATCGTTTCTGTAATTATCACACATTGACAAAACTACAGTAATTAAAATGGCTTGTGGAGTCCAACCCGCGAGCTTTGGCTCGCTGTGTCTGTGGTGTTGTCCTGAAACTCTAACAAGGGGCGGGGGGCTCTCAAAAGAGAGTGGGTAACAAGGCGTGGGTGACAAAGCGGGGGGGTGCAACATGATAGACTCATGTTAAATCAAGTACAGATCACTATGGCTCTGGTAGTCCAAGTCAACACCCTGTTCCAGGAAACGTATTTTCGTCTTAAAATCATTTAATTTGTTGAAAAATGGAATTGGCTTTCATTTAATAAGAAAGCTTCGGATTGATTGAACCACTACCTGAAAAATACAAGGAGAATTTCGAAGTAGTCAACATTTTTTCATCTAATATAATTTCCGTTTGTTAATTAAAGTACCGCTGCCGCTTTTTATAATTATACCAAAGAAAATCGGCATGAGATTTCAAATTAATTTGGGTTTTATGAAATAAGTAATTAAATTGTGTACACAAAGTAGTGACAGCGTTTTTAGCCAAAATATTTCATTTATTTCTTTTTGTATGTTGTGGGCTTTGTGGACATAATCCTTTTATTTAAAATTGGCCCGGACAAATACGGGAGCTAAATTAACATGCATACCAGTGGGAACTATTAAAGTGTTCTGGTTAATCTCCGATAAAACAAGATAACAAAAATGAAAGTGAATATTTCGACTTTATCAGTTCAAAGTCATTGTCAAACCTAACTATTCACTGGCTCTTCTCACATGTGGAATCTCAGGTGAAAACCGATACATTGGTCATTGCAGAAATTTAAAAAATAGTCCGGCAAAGAGTTTAAAGGCACATGCACATCGGAACTGATATGTCCATGTCATTGAACTAAAACTGATATATTTTAGTTCAATGGTCCATGCCGACAAAACTGACGTACTTCTCAGTTGAGTTAAAGAATAAAGAATATCCCACAAACATGCATCATTTAATGTTCGAAAGTTTAAAAATCCAATAAATTTGGCGTTAAAAGGGCACATAAAATCCGCTATACATATACAAGTAATGAGAATTCGTAAATTATGAATACCCATTTTTTTTCTATACGCAAAATCAAAACGGGTTGTGGGACATAGCAACGGTAACTATAGGCAATCTCGGGACCATCAATTAACTTGTAGTTTATTTAATATCTATCTGTTGAGTGTTGTTCATAGTTGCCTAGGTATTCAATAAGTGTGGAATTAAAAAACGTATTCGTTCTACCCCACTGCCTGGCTTTTTTCATAAAGTAAACTTTTACTTATTCCTTAATTGTTACGTTAAATCCTTATAATTAATTGTAAACCTGATGAGTATGGAGTATGTAACTATAGGAACCATTTAATACACAAAAAGCAGTGCACGGTAGTCTTACACGTAAAAAACCCCACTTATTACCAAGAAACGTGTTATTTCTGCGAGCGCTGAACAACCTCTGGCATTGAGGGTAGAATTGTATTTAAATATGTTGAAAATCTTCTAAATTTACTGTTTATCCACCGACGTGCATGCTTATCATAATGTGCATTAAGTTTGCAAACAGGGCAAGGGCAAGCCAAGACATATAAATTTTGCTATGCTGGGAAAACAATGTATGAAGTAATTGTACTAATAATTCTGTATAAAAAGACAGTTTTCATTATAGTGTTGAAACCGACAAGAAAATTTGTCTACTTTAAAGTAGTACAAATATATCTCTATCACAAAAAAGGTCACAAGATACAAAAGAGTTCGCTAACTGCGGACCCATTTATCATATAGTTATCATTTAACTAGTTCTTAAGAGAGACTTAGTAGCTTATAATGATTGTATGGAAACTTAATTACTTATAGTTAAAATGTTTAATCCCACTCACCTTTGGCTTTGAAATTATCTTGTGTTTCGAGGTAGCAAGCCAATGTCTGCACTCTATCAAGGACGTGTGCAAACTAATTCATTTTTCTATCTGGAATTCTTTTTAATCAGCAATATTGCTTAACTATAAATATTTACTCATTGTTTTTTACTGGAGACTAAATTGTTTCATGTTTGCGCTTTTAATTTTGGCCTATGGCAACCTATGGCAGTATAATTACAGTAATATGTGTTTGAAAACCCTATATAACTGTGGTTGCCAATGCCAGTTTTTTTGTGCCGACAAACTACAAACCCAATTGGCAATGAAGTAAGAGACAATTATTTTGTTCTTATTTGTTCTACTCTGAATGCCCCGACGAAGGAGAAACGTCGACATTCTGGTTATAATTAATATATGCTTTAAATTATTAATGGCCCTAAATTTAGCTCAGCTAATAAATTGCATGTCTACCCAAATATGACATGCGACCATTAAACCTATTTACTGAATAATAATAACCTTTTTTGACAAAGAATGCGAATAACTATAAGGATATTGGTTTCTATGTTTGTACAATGTATACTATATGACTGATGCCGCGAAAATGAGCAATTTTTGTGCACAATAAAAAGATTGTTTAATGACTTCTACCAAACCCATAGCAACACAGCTGGGTAAAATATTGTATTCACTAGTTTTCAAAATTAAACATTTTAAAAAACGTTAACTGTTTTGTTGTTGTGAACTTATCAAAGAGTAAGGAGTCCGATGTAATATAGTGACCGATTTCTCATTTCTTATCCTTTAATACTTCTAATTTACACAGTTTCTTTTCGTGTCATTTGTATATCATATAACACGCTAACATAATCACTTGACGAAACTATCTTTCCTCATGACACAAAGAGAAACTTGGAGCAAGTATAAACTAGGCTTATAGGAATTAAGCGTTGGTCAAACAAGATTTGAGAGTTGATAAAAGTTGAGAAGCGAGAGTTTACACGAGAGTTTTCTCAATTCTCATGCACAGGTCAAACGAAAACAAGAGTTGCACGAGAGTTGATGAGATTTGACTGGATATTGCCTGGCGGTGGCAAAAACTCTCATCAAAATTTGAACCAGTTCAAATTTCAAAGTTGATGAGAGAGAAAGGAAGTTGATGAGAGGGAAAGAAAGTTGATGAGAGTCGATGAGAGTGCCACTCTCATCAACTCGCATCTTCATGTGACCGGGGTTTTATTTATAACCTTTCAATCTAAGCGTAGGCGGCAGAACTGGGGAGCTAAATGCCCCCCCCCCCCCCAACTTTGATAAAGTAGAAAAAAGAGAGAGCTAAGCCCCTCCAAAGATAAGGTTTATTAATTCCCCGCTATGTGGCTTAAAACAGTTGTTGTAGCCGGTTAAATCCAGGTTTCTGCGTGTCAAATCGTCTTCAGGACGCAGGAAATGCCATTTCAGAACTTCAGAATCAGAGAGTTTATGTTTCAAAATGTTCCGGGTGAGCATGCTCCCGTATCCCCGTAGAGTTTGTTTAGCTCAGGAATCGTACATCCAGCCAAAAATTAAAATTAAAATTAAATTAAAAATTAAAAGAAAATTAAAAGTAAAACTACTTAAATTTAAAAATTAAGTTAATCCCAAAATTAATTCCAAAATTAATTATTTAATTAATTAAATTAATTAATATTAAATTAAATTAAAATTAAATTGCATTGCGTGCATGTACGTAGGCCTAATATATAGACAACTGGGGTTAAACATCATAAATACGATACGCGGCCGTTCACGTAAACAGTGTGAATGCATGAGATAGGCATGTTTCCACTTGTACGGAATTTTTTAAGGCACTTCTGTTGACCTTTTTGTTCACCATACAATTCGTGTTGTCCCTGATTGACTTGACTCGAGTGAAGCCATTGACTCGACTCGACATCTGCAGATAGCGAAATAACTCGACCGGTGACTGAGTTTGTTGGTTAACCGAGTCAAATCCGAGCCCGAGTCAAATGTCCGAGTCATTGTTTAATCGATGGTCTTTGCAGTTCAATGACTTAGTACCCTAATCCTAACCATAGTCCCACTCCTAACTTACCCTAACCCTATTCAACTGTCAATTTTATTCAATTTCGGAGTTTGTCGGTTACTGCGGTCAGTAAATTCGAGTTCGAGTCAAATGTCCAAGTCACTGTTTACTGGCTTTGTCGATAAAATGACTTAGTACCCTAAACCTACTCCTAACCCTATTCGACTGTGAATTTTCTTCACTTTCGTCTTCTTTTAGGCGACTCGGGCATTTGACTCGGGCCTGACTCGGATTTGACTCGGTAAATGGATTTACTCACTCGTGACTCGACCTTTGGATGACTCGACTTGTGACTTGACGTGTTGGTGACTCGTTACAACACTATTATTTACAAATAATTAACAACCTAGATTTTATTAAATAATAATAAAAAAGGATATAAAATAAAAATAGAGGATAAAAAATGCAAGCATATAGTTGACCCTGACCATAACGCTAACAAACTCTAGCGAATTATAACGTATCATATAGGCGAACAATAGCCGAGGAATTGCTCCATCTATCACACATCTCATTTGTACAGAAAGAAGCATGGAAGCATGCTGGGTTCTCGAACTGCCACTTTCCGAGTTTTGAAGCCACCAGGTGCTTTCCTAAACATTTGAAACGAGTCGAGTCATTGTCATTGACTTGGACGGTCTTGGACTCGAGTCGCAATCAGTTCTGCGACTCGAGTACGAAAAATGATTCGACTCGAGTCAACAGCCCCAAATGACTCGATTCGGTCTCGACTTGTTCATTTCTGCCGTAAATGACTCGAGTCAATTCAGCTACAACTTGTTCAGAATAAATTTATAAAAAATATTGTAGTTGAATAGTTATTTACAAATAATTAACAACCTAGATCCTTTTAAATAATAATAAAAAGAATAAAATAAAAATAGAAGATAAAAAATGTAAGCATATAGTTGACCCTGACCCATAGAAATAATAGACATCTAATATTTCTATGCCCTGACAGTAACGCTAACAAACCCTAGCGAATTATAACGTATATAGGCGAACAATAGGGACTAGGAATTGCTCCATCTAACACATCCCATATAACATTTGTACAGAAAAGATAGAACAAGATGAACTTCACCTGGCATGCTCTCTTCATTTCTGGGTCCGGTTGTACGAAAGTCGGGTAATGTTAGCCGGCCTTGCGCTTCCCATGCACTGGATTGTGATTTTTTCAACCTTTCTAAAATTGTTCGTTGATAACCCGGATTAAACTTTAGTATTTGTAAATTTAAATTAAAGTTTCGTTTTATTAATTGTGAGTTCCATATCCGTAGTTTTATAACTTTTCAAGCAATTTTTCAACGGTTGAAAAAATCACTAGACACTATGTCCAGTGCCGGATATCGTGCCCCTGGTTCTAAATTAACTCTTAAGAGAGTTTTAGTAGCTTATAAATATAATGATAGTATGGAAACTTAATTACCTATAGTTAAAATATTTAATTCCACTGACCTTTGAAATTATCTTCTGTTTCAAGGTATGGCATTGAGTTTGCACACGTCCTTAATAGAGTGCCAAGGACGTGTGCAAACTAAATTGTTTTTCTCTCTGAAATTCTTTTTATAATCAGAAATATTGCTTAACTATAAATATTTACTCGTTGTTATGGAAGACAATTTTTTTTGAGACTAAATGTTTGCGCTTTTAATTTTGACCTATGGCAACCTATGGCGGTATGCCCTATGGTTATAATTACAGTTTTTCTCGAAACAAATATGACAGATGTAAGCCTCTATATAGATGGCCAAGTTTGCTTTTTTGTACACTTTTGGTTTTATGTGTCTAAGAAATCCTATATAACTGTGGTTACCGATGCCCGTTTTTTTTGTGCCGACAAATTACAAACCCAATTGGCAATTAAGCAAGAGACAATTATCTTGTTTTTATTTGTTCTACGTATACTCTGAATGCCCCGACGAAGGGGCCTTCACTCGTCGATATTCTGCTCATAATTCTAAGCTTTAAATTATTATTGGCAATATTGGCCCTAAATTTAGCTCAGCTCAATCATGGATAATAAAATAAATGGATATGAAACTTCTGACGTCATTGACTGCATCCTTGTTGAAAAACGTGACGTCACGCGTATTGCGAATATTACCAAAGTTCTCGGCATATTTGTTGTTTTGCTATATTTTCCACTTTAAAAGGGTGATCTTGAAGCGTAAACTGGTCTAATTGTTTTAAAAACATGCCTAAGCCACGACAAAGTATTCAAGGTAAATGTTTTTCGTCTTTGTTTTGTATTTTTTACATTTGTAGCTACGAAATTGGCGTCACAAATTTTAACGAAATTTGCGATGTATTTTTCACTGTTTAGTGCTTGAAATATTTGCTAAAATTGACTGGGAATACTTAGAGTTTTCATCGTAGAATGGCGTGGTTACATTTATTTGCTCTTTGACTAAAATGCTTAGCTGTATTATTGCTAAACATGCCGTTTTTGAGAATTTGATTTTCAACTAGGTTGAGGCATCCAACCACGCCATCAATCCCAGTAAAAACATTAGGTCACGTCAGCTAGTTTCATATCCATTTATTTTATTATCCATGGCCACAGAATAAAGACATACAGAAGTGTAACTTCCATTACAAAACCGTAAGGCGTTTTCACCGAAATAGCTGGCGGCCATGTTCTTAGCAAGTGCCCTAAAGAGAGGCATTCACCCCCCTGGAATATTAAATTTTCAATATGTTTTCAGGGGGGTGACTGCCTCTCTTTAGGGCACTTGCTAAGAACATGGCGGACTGAAAAAATCCCTTACGCACTTTTAATAAGAAGATACACTTCTGTATGTCTTTATTCTGTGCCATGGCTCAATAAATTGCATGTCACCATGTTGTCACCCATATACGACATGCGATCTATTAAACCTATTTACTGAATGATAATAATATAACCTTTTTTGACAAAGAATGCGAATAACTAAGGATATTGGTTTCTATGTTTGTACAATGTATGACTGATGCGAAAATGAACAATTTTTGTAAACAATAAGAAGATTGTTTAAATGACTCCTACAAGGCAGTTTTTAACTACATAACGACTGGGGCATTTACCCCAGTAAGCCCTTTGCTCGCCTCAGTAATGAAGCAATATTTTCAGATGAACTGGGCCCTTTTGATCATTAGTAAAACTTGATCATTAGTAAACCTTGTTGAAAAAGCAGTATCTGCCTGCTTTCTCGTATCCTCTCACATTCTCGACATTCCCTTTTATAAAAGTCAGCACAGGCAGGGGCGGCGCTAAAAGGGGTTGTGGGTGTGGAACACCCACAAGCTAGTCAGGTAGTCGGCAAATTATCTAATCCCAGTTGGATGAAAAGAAATACTAATTAATTAGCGTTTGAAATTAGTAGACAATATTTCACTTACAACCAACCAACCGCTTATTCAAACAGCGCTAGCGGCTGTCCCTGAGCGCAAAGTGATTTTTATGTACCCGTATAAACTGTGTGGGGAAAAGGCCCTCATTGAGCCCCAGTAGCTGTAATTTTTTAAAAAATGCCCTGGACTTCTACCAAACCCATAGCAACACAGCTGGGTTAAATATTGCTCATTTGCTCGATATATATTGTATTCACTATAGTTTTCAAAATTGAACAGTTTAAAAAACGTTTAACTGTTTTGCATGTTGTGAACTTATCAAGGAGTCCGATGTATAGTAACCAATTTCGTATCCATTAATACTTCTAATTTTCACAGTTTTTTTTCGTGTCATTTATATATCATATAACACTCTAACAACTTACTGACTTGACGTATAACTATAAACTATCTTTTCTCATGACACAGTCTAAAAAGTATGAACTATATCTTAGACTTAGGAATCAAATGTTGGTCAAAGACAAGACTGATAGAAAGTTGATAAGACTCATAAAAGTTGAGAAGCGAGAGTTTACACGAGAGTTTTCTCAACTCTCATGCGCCAGTCAAACGAGAACAATATATATAGTTGCATGAGAGTTGATAAGATTTGACTGGATATTACAAAGCGTGTAGCAAAAATGAAAATTTGAACTAGTTAAAAGTTGATAAAGTAGAAAAAAGAGGAGGCTAAGCCCCTCCAAAGATAAGGTTTATTAATTCCCCGTTATGTGGCTTGAAACAGTTGTTGTAAGAGGTTAAATCCAGGTTTCTGCGTGTCAAATTTACAGTAAAATACGAACGCGGCCGTTCACGTGAGCAGTGCCTGATCTAAGATCAGTCCGACCTTCATTGGGTCATGTTTCTTGATTTATGATTTAGTTTTAAAATTTAGACTTTGCTACAAGACAAACATATAGATTTCCATGTCCTTGGATCATCGACGTCAAAAACGATTTCCAGCGCTAACTTGTAATATTTAGAAAGTCTGTTTTTGAATTGTCCTAAACTAATGTAATAGCTTGTCAAACTCTTTGGTAGTATGTTCCATAATCTCTTTGTTCGGTTGAGAATTGAGAAATGGTCACCTTTGGTACGTAGTGGTCTTGCATTGTTGTAAATGACAGATGATTTGGATCAGCTGCGACCTGGTTTCTCACTTCCTCTTTTGTTATTATTGGGTGACGACTGTATTAAATCATTATCAATGGTCATGGATACCATGCGTTATTTTGTAGAAGTTTACCATATCTAGAAATTCCGCAAGTATATAGCACAATGGAAGGAGGTTTTATTAATGGACAATTCCCATTATAGACTAATTTTTTATCTTGGCAAAAAAAAGTATATTCCCGGAAAGAGCATACTAAAATGAGTAAAATTACAAAGTTGGCTTGCGCAATGTTGTAAAATGCGGAAAATATAGGCAGTATGTATATAGCCTTGCAAAGTTCGCAAATTTTGTATACGTTTGTATTGCGTGCGGAAATTGCCACCACATTTGGGCCGAAAATGGTACGTATTGCAATTTTCGCACGCTGTACAAAAGTATACAAATTTTTCAAACTTTGCAAGGCTATATTTTACAACATTTCGCAAGCAAACTCTGCAAATTTACTCAGTTTAGTATGCTCTTTCTATAACTTATTTGCATATCTCCTTGCTTAGTTTTACTAAATTAGTCCATAATGGGACTTGTCTATTGTGAGCTCCAAATATCCGTAGTTTTATAACTTTTCAAGCAATTTTACAACGGTTGAAAGAATCAATAGACATTATCCCAACCTCGTACCCAGGCTCTTTCCACTACGCGTAGTGGAAAGGACCTGGGTACGAGGTTGGTGGATATCGTGCAACCTACGGCATGGTATTTATAATGCCAACGTCAAGTTTGTAATCTAATATAACTACATTGGTTATCGTGTGACAACTCTGGTTAGCAGGAAAGACATTTGACAGCAGTCTTCCTTCTTGTACATATCTACGTCATGCCGGTCATTATGCTAATTATAGTGTGAACCATGCATGGTGGGAACTGATGTAATCGAGATTTTGGAGTCTCTTTCGATATGGAACTAATGGTAGATAGTAATGAATATTCGAACGCAAATTTATATAAAATTGTAGATTTAACCAGGGGCAGTTATAAGCAAATATACAGGAATCGAACAGATGTTCCCAGACGCTTTGGTTTGTATATCACGGCATCAGACGCGCGCGGGACAACACGCGAGGGAGAATAACCAATAATTCTAAAATTAAACGAGACTTACCGTATTTACTCGATTGAGCGCCGCCCTCAATTGAGCGCCACTCCCGAATAAGCGTCGCATTTGAGATCAATTTTTTTTAAAGAGCGCCGCACTAAACAGTATAAAAACTTTCCGCCGTCAAAATGGGGACATTTAGTGACAAAGACATTTAAAACTTGTTTATTTTATTGTTAAAAGTTCTTGTTATTTCACAAATAAAATATTTTTTTTAAAGAGCGCCGTTCCCGATTAAGCGCCGCCCCCGAATGATTGACGTGCTGATGACGTAGGAGAA